TGATAGCGTAGAGAAATCCTGTTAATCTTAGTATATGCTACTAGACGTAATTCTTTGAACTTAAGACCTACTGATGTAGGAGAGGTTTGTAAAGAGAGGTACGAAAGTACCCTATTGTAGATCCTGGTCTCTTCTTCTTGTTATTATCTAAGTGGCTGATTTATTAAAAATTGGGCTAAGTACAAAGTCTCCTATTAAGCGATTAAATCTTAATAGAGAGTTCGCGCTAATTAAAAGAGCCTGTAAGAGTATATAGGAGAGGAAGTAGTTGCTTACTTTTAGTAGATTCTTGGCTAATGTCCTAGCTAGCGAAGCTCTATGTTTTATCTCGTTGGCAATAGTGGTAAGTCCTGCAGACAACGAAACTACGAGAGTAACTTAGAGAAAAAGGAAATAGAAGTAATAATTTTAGATCTTGAGGTTAATGAGGCTCTTAGAAGAGATGCTCTGCTTTTTGATAAGGTATTCTAATACGACGACGAATCCTTTTATTAAAACGGCCACTAATAATGGAGGTAGTATATCTTGGAGTAGACTTAGGAGAAATTCTGGAAGCTTATTAATCTAGCTAAGCTAAGGCACTGCCTGGGTGATGTAGATGATTTGGGAGAGGAGCCCTGCTAGGGCTACTGGTATAACGCAAGCAGTCGCTATTGCTATAATAAGTATGTTCGAAAGGACAGTGCGTATAGTTCTGTCCTTCTAGGTGATGCTGACATTTCTCTATATTATATTATTAGTAGACAAAGGTATCGTACGGGGTGTTATATAACCTGAGCTGGTATGAATTACTGTTTAATACGCTATGTTGGCGGCTAGTGGATTGGCGAATGTAATAAAGGCGGATTGTAATAGGGGGAATCTCTCTTGTGTTGCGCGATGAAATTCTATCTCTTTACTAGTTTTAAGAAGTTCCTCTCTATATATTATGCTGGTATCCGCTTTTTTACGTTCTAGCTAGGCGAAGACGTTGAAAAGGCTGCGTGATTTGTAGTTTATAGGTCTGTGTTTTTTAGGAAAGTTTAATTTCTTGTCTCGTTTCTGAACGCCTACTTTGTAGGCCTTCCTTATCTTCGAAATCTTCTCTATCTCGAGAGATTAAGCTAAGCGTTCCCGTCTCTCTGCTAAACGGGAAATTAAGCTATAGTTACGATTAAAAGAAATTATAGTAACTACGCCAGGAAAGACCTCTAGCTAAGATATGAGTGCCTTCTCGGACATCTAATCGTTGGGTATAGATTCGATAAGTACTATGCACAAAGCCGCATATAGTGAGTTTTACTAGATTATAACGTAAAATGCAAGCTCGTTCTAGATAACCTAGTAAACATGTACGATAAAAAGTAAACCAAGGATAAGATGAGCCTAATAACGATCTGCCTGATTAAGGCTAATATTGGACCACCCTAACGAATTAAGTCTACTTACTCCAAGAACTACAGTTTTCCTCTTAGTGTAGTTTAAAGGAATAAGAATGGGTAGTATAAGTATTAAAGCGGGAGTAAATATAATAGCTAGTGATCGTAGGTACCGGCGGAAGAAGTATCTATCAAAATGGTCGTGGTAGTGGTTAAATTAAATTAAATTGGTTACAATATACTCTTTCTAGTTCTCGGGCGTACTTTTTTAATAATTTAGAATAGTAGTACTATGATTATAAGCGTTAGATCTAATAGAAGGCTTTAAACTTACTAGAAATTAGGAAATCGCTTGCGGATAACAAGAAACGCAAGAACTTCTAGTGTGAACATGATTGTAGAAAAGGAGACTGATGCTATAAATGAGCCTAAAGAGATACTCTGGAGCTGTTAAGCTTTAGTAAATAATTTTTCAAAAGTATTATCCATCGCTTTAGCCAGATATTCAGTTCCTACGCAGTGAGCTTTAATATGAAGTAGATAAGCTAACAGCGACAAAGACTCCTCGAGTTGATGCCTTTAAACGGCATACACTAGGAATAGCTTAGCATAACAAGTAGGAGCTTTTCGAAGTGTCGTGCTTATTACGCTAGGCCATTTCTAGGTTATGTTATTCGGAGACAACAGTTCAGACAGATTTCTGCCGCTCAAGCTATAATAGCTATGTAGAGCAGCCTCTTCTAGCTTAGCGTAACAAGCAGAAGCTCTTCGAAGTGTCGTGCTTATTACGCTAGACTAGAAAGGGCTTCTCTACGTAGCTACCATAGTTTAAGAGGCAAACATTTGTCTCTGAGCGATATGCTCTGGAAAAGGACTAGCGTAACAAGCAGGAGCTCTTTAAAGTGTCGTGCTTATTACGCTAATCTAGAAGAGGCTGCTCTACATAGCTACTATAGCTTAAGCGGCAGAAATCTGTCTAAACCATTGTCTCCGAACAATATAACCTAGAAATGGCCTAGCGTAACAAGCACGATACTTCGAAAAGCTTCTACTTATTACGCTAAGCCAGAAGAGGCTACTCTACATAGCCACTATAGTTTAAGAGGTAAAGATTTATCTTCTAATAAGATGCTCTAGGAAAGGACTAGCGTAACAAGTAGGAGCACTTTAAAGCGTCGTGCTTATTACGCTAAACTAAAATTGGTAGTATATAGAAAAAGCCTACAAGTAGACCTATCCGTTCTGGGCTGGACTAGCGCGACGGAAGACAGGCAGCGACGGAAGACAGGGAATCGTTCTTGGCCAAGAAGCCTTTTCTAATAAAGTATATTTAATTGTAGAATACCTCCTGTTGGCCCCGTGCATAATTCGCCTATTTAATTCGCTAACATAATGGCGCTAAACGGTTATCTGTCTTTAGCTCTAGCCTTGATTAAGGTTTATAGATTTTAATAAAATTGTGCTGTAGCTGATTTATCTAATAAGATAAAGCGTTTTGTAGATAATTAGTTGCAAATTAGTGATGCAATCGACTACGATGATCTTGTAGCCCTAGTAGATACGCTCGACTACTTAAAAAAGGACGCTTAAGAGAAAATGACCATTAGGAGAGCTAGCCAAGCGAATATACAAACCCATTTACGGCCTGCATGCGTAGGTGGTGCTAATCAAGGGGTGCGACGGTCTTCTCGCCGCCTCGCATCCGCTCCTTAATATGCTTCAATAGGCTCGTTGTTTGTCTCTAAAGATGAGACGGAGTCTGAGTCTAGTAGTTAAAATGATGGGATACGGTCACTAATGCTCCGCGAAGAAAACTATGATGAAAATAAAACGAGGAACGCTGCAGCAGAGATTCTAATAAATTATCTGACCTTGTTACTAGTTGATAACGATAGCTAAGCGGATAAAATTCTTCTTAAGAAGAATTTTGGGGACACAGTATCCCAATTAAGGCACCCTATAGAGTAAGAATAATCCTCTCCTGCGCCCTATATAGTAAGGCTAGTTAGTAATGAGTAGAATGAGTGTACAGATGTATAGCTAATACAGGACCTTAATAAAGCCCTAAACGTCTAAGTTTATTAGAAAACCAGTGATACTGCTCTATACTAATTATTGGAGGATCTAGAAGATGTTAAAAATCAGTAGTTTCCTGAGCTTTCCCATTCTAGTTTAGTCCATCAGCCACAACTAGGCTTAATGGATTAGGATATCTCAAATTCACTTTTCGGTGGCGAGGAGTTTGGAGTCGGTATTTTCAATAATCTACCTTCGCCTTAGTATTTTAATGAAACATTTAAAGACTTGTATTCTACCTCTGTATATGACGAGGTACAGCGAGACGTCGAAGAGACCGCTATATACCCTAACGAATAACATCCGACCAACTAAAGTTATATAGAATATTTTAATAGTGATCTAATAGTTTAGGGCTATATAGATCTCGCTTGTCATTTAGGCTTTCGCTTTCCGCACGAAACCGCAGATAATGCAGATTATGTTGATGTTTAGGAGGTCCTAGTACCCTTAGTGAAAGAGACGCCCCTTACGTTAAGACTCCTCCATAGTATATTGTATACGCTACTGCCCGGCCCAACTCTTATTGTTGATTTTTGTTCTAGTGCATTCGATCCAGAGGCAGTAGAGGGAAGTACCTGTACCGATTTTGTAGCAATCGTACGCCGAAATAAAGACAGTTCGCCTCTGCTTATAGTAGAGCTAGAGACGAGCAAAACGTTCTTCATTCTTAATAGCGAAACATAGGACCTACCTTCTCTTAGGATTCCGTAGCTAATACGCCCAAAATGGAGGACGGAATATACTAATATAGGTCAATCACCTACTCGACTCCTGACACTAACTAACCTTCTTCAGCCACGAAGTATTGAGCCGCACATAGAAAGTACACTACTATCAGTTTAGATAGCAGAGGCCTACTTTCAGCACTGGCCCCTCCAGAACGTTCCATCCTCTCGCGACTTACGCCTACGTATCTTAGAGGAGTTGTTAGCGCCCTATCAACGCGATTATGTGCTCGAAAAGTGTAGCATCCCTAGTAAACTTACAGGGCCTAAACAGATTAATAGCTAATAGAAGCTAGCCCGCTTAGAGACACAATTACAAACTAGCGAGGTTTTCGTACCAAATCTAGAGAACTTCAAGCTTAAAGCGTTACGGGAATCACTTCTCCAGAAGCCTTCTAAGATAAATCGCGGACGTTGTCTACGCATTTTGCAATGTGTAAACGAGATCAGATCTCCCCATATTCTTAAATCACTTAAACTAGCCTATACCAGAAAAGACGAATGCCAAACCTATTCAGCAACAGAGCAACCTATCTTCGAAAAACTATTCCACATCCATATCTACCTAGACAGGCAACAAAGCCAAAGTCATATTCTAGCTGCCAGAAATCGATATATTAAATATTGCTACTTTAAGACATATCTTCGTGCTGTCAAAGCACTGCAGGAGGAGAAGCGCAATAGTACACAAGAGAGACGAAGAGTCTCAGCTCGAAAACGGACTACTAGCTTCAAGCAGGGTATTTCTAAGATACTGCCCCCTACTCCACATACTGAAGAAATACATCGAGTTTACGAAAATCTGAGTCCTTTAGAAAGAAAGAGGCGGGCTCCCGATATGGTCAAAGATGAGATTTCAAAGAAAATTGTAAAAGAATATGGCGGGAATGAAAAGCGAATTCGACGCAATATAAACAAATACATTAAGGACGGGAGAGTACTACACTATATTCTTCGAGGCGGAAGATCCTTAGACCCAGCCTTGCTTATTCTGTTTCCAAGCTTCGGATCCGATTTGCCTTCGTTGAGTGTGACTCAATTTGGATTGGAGCTTGAGGAGCTTGAGGAGAAGGCTCTTAGTAAGCCTATTCAACTAAAGGAGTAAGATACAATTCTATATTTAATCGAATTTCTACTAATATAATTGAGCAGTATAGATGAATTGACGCTAGTGGAGGCAGGTTGGTTTGGCGAGGTGTTGCAGGCTAGGCCAGAGCTGCTAGAACCAGTACCGAAGGCTGCCCTTGATCTCATCTCGAATACCCTGACCCACGACCTCGATCTTCAAGGTCGTGATCTAGACAGCTTTCGGAGTAGACCGCTCTAATTCTTTATATAGTAGAATATGATTTGATGCACACTTAGATTAGCGTGCCTTTTTCCGAGTGCAATCATGTTCATCAAATGTATTAACGTCCATCCCTGTGTGGCGGGACACCCTGCGTGGCGGGACGCCACAGACACTACCCAACACAACAAACGCAACAATAGGTTAGAAGAACAGATATCCTCAGAACAGTGGAATTAAGCTACATAGTCTATTCTCTCCTAGTATATTTTAGAAATAGGTTCTACTTACCGTGCAATACAACAATTTAGTACGAGCGTTACGCGACCACCTTGCTTTAGCTAGCAGTAGGTACTTCAAAAGCTTATGTATCTCAACAAAAGTCTGTTAATATATAGCCTTTTTTACTATTATCCTATCCCAAGTACTACACTTAAGCTTAAGGGGTTGTCGTGCTTCTATGCTAATTTCAAGTCCGCCTGCTAGATATGCTAGATAAAGAGGCCCCGCACACCTAGCTTAAAGTAGCTTGGCTGTAATCTATCGCTGCTGACGCTAGAACTGTGGCTGCGTGGTTGTATGGCTGTGCGACAGCAGGGCGCTTTTGCCAAGCGCGCCAGGACACCCGAAAACCAGCTTAGATAGGGAGCAGTGCTGGGTTTGAAGTCCCTCCAGCATTTGGCTCGCGGCAACGTACGCACCTAGAGTGGCAGACGTTGCGAGATTATTGGTTGGATGTTTATTTGGCTGGATCAAACTTTGCCACTTTTACTACCATTCGCTACGTCATCCTTTCGTAAGTACTCGTAATAAGAAGCTGTCAGCGCTGCGCCCTCCAGTCTGCTGGCTATAATCATAGACAAACAATATCATCGTCACAGCCCCGTCCCTCACATACCAGCTTCCACTTGCGTCCTTGTACCTTCTCCTATTGAACGATTACGCGAGCTCCACCCGGCCGACTCAAGCCCCCTCTAAAGGTGCTTGCTATCAATGGAGAGCAGCAACGGCCTTGGCGCCAAAGTAGCCATCCCTCGGCTCAAGCAGCCTGACCAGCAGACTGTTCTTCCGAGGCCTCCCTGTATTCGTTCTGAGAGAGTGGATAAGGCAGTAAGTACCGTACTTGCACTAGTTAGCATTATGATGCTGATTAAGCGTGTAGTGTAATAGATGCAGGAAACGCAGTAGGCATAATGTCAAATTCCGTCCTTGTGATCGCGCCTACTCGTTGCTTCGCGTGGACATATTGTGCGAGCTAACATGTGCAGAAATGAAATGTTCTGGCACTAGACCGCGCTGTATCAACTGCACGAAGTATGACGAGGATTGCATATATCATCTGTCGCGCCGGGACCGGCTAAGAGAGTGAGTTGACTTGAGTATCTCTTAAGTGCGCTTCTGACTCGAACAGGGCCACTTACAAGAATGAAGTTCTCTCTATACTGCTTAAAGACATCTGTGGCGTCCTCGATGACGAGTATAAAAAGAGAGTTGATTATGTGCTTAAAGAGTTTGACAATGACACGCCTCCACTATCACTATCCGTACACACCAAGTCATGGAAGAAACGATCGATGACGTCATCGTCTAATGAAATGAATTGCGACAGGCAGGCGTTTGACTAGGCTTATGTCTTATCCTTGGTGGGCTCTAACGAGGATCTCGCTTTCCTAGAAGAAGATGTCCTAGGGGACCTTGGATCAATTACATAAGACGGGCCGTAACTCTTAGATCCAATAGATGCGGATTTTGCAACAAAAGCTAGATTAGTCTGGAGGCGGGCCGTCCGACATGCTATATGCGGTATCTAGAGATTTTCTACTTAACCAGGCACAGTTACTATTGTTCTATGGGAATCACTTCATGACAAATTTCGATTAAGGGGTAAACTACTACGGCCTCGACGGTTATACCCCACACGAACAGCAGCCCCCACAATAGGATTGTGGTTAACGTGTGCAGTGGTTTCGGCGAAGGGAAAACCAGAGAAGCAATCTTTTAAAAATATAACATAGTAGAATATATAAGTTATAGAGAGAGTATATCGTTTCATGTGAAGTATCCTTCCCCACTAAACAGCATGGCCAACCCAGAAACATGTGAAAATCTAAGTGCTACGCTTAGAATGCCATGTACGCGACGGCGGAATAGCTTTAGCTAGAAAAGCTTATCTTGATTCCTGCCATCCTTGGCGATGTATTATAGCTAGGACTTCAAGTAATGACAAATCATTGCAGAAACACTTTTATCTTCGCTACATGTGTGATATGTAGCTATAATGAGTACTACTAGTGGATATTATTTGCTACTGCTAGCAGGAGGTGGCCGACCCGCACTGGCCACAGAGTTACGCTGGAGGCGTTCAATCTTTGGTATGTAAATGAAGGAAAAAGCTTGCTATGAACGTCGGCACTAGACGGCATTATAATAGAAGGGTTATTACTAATAGCAAGATGGCGTGCAGCCTTATAAAGCGTAGTAGCCTACTTAAATACAGCTATAATTAAATCTTTGCTCTGCTTTTACCAGTGCTTATTAGCGTCGACGATCTAAACTTATCAACCTCAAAGGTCAGACTGAAGCACCTTTCTACGGCCCTAACGATTGTAGTGCTTATATAAGAAACTATTCGCTGTATGACCGTACGATAGCTATATCCACAAGATATACAGACCCTTTCTACCTTTGTATGTGCTTGTAACGACCGCGTTCTTCTAGTAACACTCACTCCGCCTGCCAAAGCCTAGACTTAGATCTTGGTATTCTGTATTAATGCCTATATGTATTAGTTGCAATGCGCTCGAGAAATACGAAGACGTGATAGGCTAGACGGGGGATCAACGGCGGGTCTGCACAGCTGTAGGGCGGCGCGACGGTTCATCTTTATAGCATAGAGGCTTTCGCATTAGCTGTATTCATCTATTACACTTCGTCTCGAACTTATATAACAGCTATATTAGAAGCTAGCTGCGGGTTTAATGCTAGGTGTGTTCGCTGACGCGAGCCAAACGCCGAGGGCCTTCAAACCCAGCCCTGCTTCTAACCCGAGCCGATTTTCGGGTGTCCAAGAGCCCTTGGCAAAAGAGTCGCACAGCCACACAGCCACACAGCCATATAGCCACAAACCTAGTGTCAGCAGCGATAGATTACAGCTAAGCTGCTTTAAGCTAGGTGTGCCGGTCATCTTCATCTGGCGCTTCTAGCAGTCGAACTTAGAATTAGCACAAAAGCATAATAACCTCTTAAGCTTAAGCGTAGTGCTTGTGATAGGATTATAATAAGCTATTGACTAACGGACTTTCGACAAGACAAATAAGCTTTTAACGCATCTACCGCCAGCTAAAGCAAGGCGGTCGTGTGACGCTTATACTAGGTTGACGTATTACACGGTAAGTAGAACCTATTTATAAAAGGCACTAGGAGAGAATAGACTTTATATATTAAGGCTACATACTATTCCGAGAATATCTATTCTTCTAATCTGTTGTTGAGTTTGTTATATTTGGGATTGTCTGTGGCGTCCCGCCACGCAGGGTGTCCCGTTACCCAAGGACGGACGTTAGGTACTTAATTTTTCACTTTATATAATTCTGTTACCCCTAACTCTGACACATCTACTCGCCTACCTAACACAGCTATTTCTTAAACATTTTCGCTACTAGATTGTTGTCCAAACGGCGAGATGAAGACTGAACCTGGGAGCAATACAATCAACCAAGATGCATGGCCTTGTTTAGGCGCTATTAGTATTGACCGCCTGAATGTGCTTATATTTTGGGAAAGTTCATGGCTTTCAACACGTGAGTACCATGCACTTCGTCAAGATGGAAATCAGGGGTGGCTTGTCCACGCTCGAGGCGAAAACGAGCTACTCATTTCCTGGGAGCCTACTATTGAAAGGAAGTCGATTTAATCCTCCCCCCAAGACCTACTTCATGAGTTTCCTATAGAGGTCCGAAAAGATCGACCTGGTTTGCTTGGGTATGTCGCGGCGAAGGCTTTGCCCCCATATTTAAACGCGGGTAGCCGTTTCCCAGCATTTCTAGCATACTGGAAAGTCGCCCGAATGACCAAGGGTCTTTTTTATTATCTACAGTAAATTTATTCCAGCCACCGGGGCTACATTGTTCACGAAGAGTTAGACAAAGTCTGGATACAGTGGGAACCTACGTGGGTGGTTTACGAAAACTTGAATGAATGTAAGAGAGAGCAGCTCTTACAAATATCCCACGATCCCGAGGCTATATTGCATCGCTTCCACAAGGCAATTGTTCACTACTCCATGCGCTCAGTAGTAGAGAGGAGAATAAGTAAGAGAACAATAAATTAAAGGAGGCTATCTACGCTTCGGTGCTAAATCCGCATCTGTATGAATATATGTGCTGCAAATACTATCTTCAGGGAGAATACAACTAACGTCCGTCCCTGTGGGTCGAACATCCCTCCACAACGAACCACCAACATTGCTCAAGGACGTTACGCCCAAGCCACAGATACTTTCAGATTTAAGTACTCATTCATATGCTCTTTAGATCCACCTCTACCTATCGCAAGTCTTAAATAGCAAAATTACAGCAATCTAAGGGGCGCATATGAAGTTTTTGTGTCAAGCAATAAAGCTGCAATAATAACATACCCCTGTTCTACTTTTTACAGAAGGGTAACTTGCTTATTCGGAGGACCTATACAATTCACAGCAGGCTAAAGAACCTACAGGCACTCTATGAGGACCTGCAGCCTCTATCTAGATACACTCCGAGTTTCTCCGGCTTGGTGTGCCAGTCCTTCGCGTTTAGCGAGAGGATTTATAACGCTGACATAGCAGGATTGCGAACGCTTAGCGGCCCACGATGTACACCTGCACTATGCCAAAAGAGCTGAAGCTGTGGCGCAAAGTTGAGAGGCTTCGTCCAGCCACTGCTTAAGCGCGCGGTCGCTTTCTGCCTATTCTTAGAATTTGAAGACACCACGAGATTCCCATTATACGTACTTAACTATAATAAGTAACTGTTATAGCCTTGGTATTTTGAACTGAGCAGAAAAGCGCGAGAGCTAAGAAAATCGTTCTATCTATTCGTTTTTACAACATTAACTTAGTTCACGTGACAAAGCCATACCCTTCCTGACCCTACTCCTATACCTACTTGGGTCTCACTCACAGCCGAGCATAAGGGCCGATACTCAGAGGGTATCCACAACATGTTGCTACTAGCGCACTTGACCCAGTTGCGATCTGAACTTATACCGGCACCCTGGTACTGTGGTTTTGATACTACATCGTCGATGCGGTCTATGATCTGGGAACTAGAGATGGTGATAGTGCCTATTTCTGTTGAGAGCATAGCACTAGTAGGATCGAAGGATAAGTCCCAAAGGGATCTGCCAACGTCAAAGGTATGCAGACACATCCCGCTGCTCGCGTCCCAGATCTTGATAGTCCTGTCCTCTGACGCTGACGCTAGCCAGGTCGAGTCGTGCGAGAAGGCCACCGACGTAACACCACTGCTATGGCCCTCGAGCGTGTGCAGACACGTCCCGCTGCTCGCGTTCCAGATCTTGACAGTGCTGTCGCCTGACGCTGACGCTAGCCGGGTCG